TCATCAACGGAGCCGGCCCAAACTCCTTCACAGACAAACACAAACACGCTGTATTTGGGGAATCAAGCGCACACAAGACGGTGGCTGGACCGTTATCCGCTCCCCACTGAGTGCATAGAAAGCTCTTGGAGCCTAGTACAACCACAAGGACCATGCACCCCCTCCCCTCCAGCAACGACCAACTGTATTCTAGAGTCAGTATGGACGAGGTAGTGGGTAATAGACAGGTGGGCACCTTGTCAACATGCACATCAAGCGCCGCCACACCGGGGTTATCAAGCAAAGCAATCACTTGAAACGACAAGGTGAAATAAAATAAACCGGGTAATGCATACGGACACCGCGACATAACTCTTCACTAAAAGAGCGTATAAAAATGATTACGAACGAATCCGCGATAAGTTCAAGAGGTCAGGAAATATATTTTAGGAAAATGATACTAACACGAATGTTATCGAAAGCAACTAATTAGCTTCAGCAACATGTGCAAATTTATAGAAGATAGCACAGGTAGAAAATGATATGAGAAAGAAAACCATTAGGACAAAATTGAAAACCCACCATCTGAAATAGAGACTTGGCATGCAAGCACACGGTTAGTAAATCGAATGCAGCGTACCTACAAACGTTGCGCCGTTGTGCCTACGTTCTCTGCAGGGCCCGTTGACGCTTCGATGGTGGTCCCGAGGGGGCTCGCTCATGGCTCACTAGGTCTGCCTTACTCAGGCACTCGCGACCGCATGTGCTACAGCACCATGCGTTTGATGTCGATGGAGTACAACTCATCGGTGCTTTCCGCTTCCGCACTTGCCGCTTCTTCTCTGCATGTATGAGATCTTTCACCTGCACTTCGGTAACTGCCTTCGTGATTAGATCGTGCCATGCACGCCGATCAACCGCCTTCGATTCCCATGACCTACAATCAAGACTGGAACGTGAGAAGCTCACTTTGATCATGTTCTGGCAACGCAAGTTTGGTTTCCCCACATGCCGCTTCCCAATACTCAGATGACCATATAAGAGTTGCTTCGGTATCCGCGTCCAATCCATACGGCTGACATGACCGAGCCACCTCAGGTGTCTCAGTAAAAGTATGCAGTCCACTGCATACATCCCACTTTGTCGCAACACTTCCGTGTCCGAAAATCTGTCGCCCCATCCGATGCGCATAATCCGCCGCAAACACTGTTGATGGAACCGCTCGAGATATCGCACATTCCGCTGGTACATCGTCCAATTTCACTGCTGTATAGAAGAACGGATAGCACCATGGATTTGTACACCATCAGCTTCGTGCCAATGGTAAGCTTATCGTATCCACTTATCGTATTTTGGTCAAATGCGTATTGTGGTAACGCTTTTAGGTTGCGGAGTTCCTGGATTAAGAACCCGTCATTCTTGGATGCCAAAAGGGATTGAAAACGTGTATTCCCATAAATGTATTTTGGGGCTCCCAGATGTTGTACACGAGGTGGTCTAGAGTCAGCCGGCGATTCAAAAGGAATGTTGGTCGATGTTGAAGTGTATGAGATGTTTGAAAGAATAGTCGATACAGCTGGTGATGTTATCAGCTGACCGGAAGGTTGTGTAATAACATGTGAAAGGTACGCTACATACCTCCCCACCAGTGCGCTAGTCGCACGAAGTTCAAGCGACCAGGAGTAAAAATCCCGGTGGGAATAGCCGATAAAAACTGACCTCTACCTGGTACAGTGTCGCATGAAATATCCGAGGCTGAGGTATGAGAGGCATGCAGGCTACTATTCTGTGTGTAAGGTACAATGAAAGATTTTGGAGCAGTGCAGAATGGTAAATGCACGGATGTTGGATTTGTCTACACCGGATGATCCGCTTCTTCCTCGTGCGAGATGTTCATTTGCATTCTGGCGGAATCTGGTGAACAACAATCAGGAGGAGAATGGCAGCAAACGGTACTAGCAAGTGATCAGCAGAACAAGATGATATTGTCACGATGTGTGATACACTAAGCGGTCTAGAAAATGGACTCGCCTTCTTGACCGTGTCTGCCGCTTATTAATGTCTCCTTTTGGCTTAGCTTTAGATGTTGCAATCTACAGGTCATCTTCAACGAGCTGTGGTGTCTGCTGCGTCCACGGTGTCGTGTGAGAATCAGTAGATTGTTGTTTACAAGGTTTTTCCATGTACGCTGGTTTCGACGATCTACGGAAACCGCATCGACCTTACCATTCTTGTTGATCATATGGTGTTTTTCGGTTCTAGCGATCACTTCGAATGGTCCTTCGTACAGTGGTTGTAATGGCTTGCGGACTGCATCATTTCGTACCCACACGTGTGAACAAGTTTCGAGATCTTTCGGTATGTAACACTTGTTGGTGTGTGCGCGTGTGGGGATACAGTGCAGTTCACGCATAGATGAACGTAGCCGATGGACAAAGTTTGCGGGATCTATAGCTTCGATGTCGGTCGGTTGAACGAGATCAGCCGGGAGCTTTAACTTGGTACCATATACCAGCTCCGCCGTTGGGCAACCTAAATCAGCTTTAGGTGCCGTTCGGCGACCTAATAAAACCAGCGGTAAGGTTTCTGTCCAACGGGTAAAGTCGGAACATGCCATCAAAGCTGTTTTGAGATGACGGTGGAAACGTTCGACTAACCCGTTCGATGATGGGTGGTACGCAGTTGTTCTTATACGCTTGGTTCCGAGAGTATTGATTAACTCTCGAAAAAGCGTCGACTCAAATTGCGCACCGCGATCAGTTGTTATGGTGGATGGTATACCATAATGTGCGATCCAATGAGCCAGAGTTATGTGCTACCGTCTCTGCAGAAATGTCTGCGATGGGTACTGCCACGGGCCAACGAGTGAAGCGATCGATGCAAGTCAGTAGGTACTTGTATCCACTCGACGGCGGCAGTGGACCAACGGTGTCTATGTGCACATGACTGCAAAGAGCATCGGGAACGGTGAAGTTGCCAAGTGGTGCCTGAGTATGCCGTTGCACTTTTGAACGTTGACATGGGAGGCAATTTCTCACCATGATCTGCACGTCTTTGTTTAGTGCTGGCCAAACAAAGCGATCAGAAATAAGCTTACGAGTTGCATGGATGCCTGGGTGTGATAGACCGTGGATTGAATCGAAGATGATTCGTCGATAGTTTGGTGGGACGACAGGTCGTGGTTTTCCTGTCGAAAGATCACACATCAGAACATCCGAACTACCAGACAGCGGAATGGCTTTCACTTGAAGATTGGTTTCTTGCAGTTGTTGAAGAAACTGATTATCCTGATGCTGTGCTGTGGCTAGTTCTTGGAAGTCAACGGAGGAATGTCCGAATAGAGCGTTGATTTCCGCCCTTGATAAGGCACCTGCTACGGCGTTATTCGCGCCGGACAAATGCTGTATGCCAGAGGTAACTTGAGAAATGTAACCTAATTGTTTAGTTTCTCGTGGGGAAAGACGATCAGAAGCAGAACGCAGTACATACCTTAACGGCTTATGATCGGTGAATATCGTGAACGTACGTCCTTCCAAATAATGTCGGAAATGACGCACATTGGGGTAAATAGCTAGGAGTTCTCTGCTGAACGTGCTATAACGTCGTTTGGCAGGCTGCAATTTCTTAGAGAAAAAGGCAATTGGATACAATTCACCCCTCTGTCTTTGTTGAAGCACACCACCTACAACTACATCTGAGGCATCCACCGTTAACTGTAACGCGGCCTTAGGATCCAGATGCACAAGAAGAGTGGCAGTTGCTAGCTGGTGTTTTAGCTCGCTGAATGCGTGTTTAGCTGATTTCGTAAAGCTGAATGTTTTAGCATCTAATTTGAGTAGTTCGGTAAGTGACTGGGCTAACTCTGAACAGTGCGGAATGAATCTTCGGTAGAAGTTAACCATGCCAACGAACCGGCGTAACTTTTTGATGGAATCAGGTATGGGATACTCAGTGATGGCTGTCACTCTGTCCGGTAGGGATGCAATTCCACCAGAGGAAACACGGTGACCAAGAAAGTCTACCATATCAACTCCTAACTGACTTTTGGCGGCGTTGATAACTACTCCATAATGCGCAAATCGTTCAAAAAGCTGTCGCAGATGACGCAAATGTTCGTCATGATTCCGACTTGCAACTAAGACATCGTCGATGTAGACGGAAACGAAGTCCATCTCGCGAATGACCTGCTCCATAAAACACTGAAACGTCTGAGCTGCATTACGAAGACCAAATGGCATTCGCAAGAGCTCAACTAAATCAGAGGGAGTAGTGACGGCAGTCTTAGGTACATCTTGAGGATGAACGGGAATTTGGTGGTATGCCCGTACTAAATCCATCTTGCTGAACACTTTCCGTACAGCGAGGATGAGAAATCCTGGAGATGCGGAATGGGGTATCTGTCTGGGACGGTGATGGCGTTCAGTCCCCTATAATCCCCACATGGTCTCCAGTCTCCGGGTTTATTCTTCGGGACCATATGTAGGGGCGATGCCCACATACTGCTGGATGGATGTATTATGTCCAATTGTAACATATGATCGAACTCGGCCTTCGCTCCGGAAAGTTTATCTGGCGCTAGTCGCCGATGACGATGAAATACTGCACTGCTTGCTGTCGTTATCCTATGAACGATCTCATGTTTAATATCACCAGGATGATATCCGGGCTTCGTTATGCTGGCAAATTCGCGCAACCGGTCCAAATACATCGAAGATGCTTGAGGCGGGACAAGCTGCGGATTCATAGACATTACAGAGCTCTTAAAACCAGCCTGTGATAGTTGTGTTAGGCCATCTATGATCTGACAGCGCTTAGGATCTACGATAATGCCATAGTGCTGAAAGAAGTCGAGGCCTAGTATTGCACTGGGCACTTTAGCTATGATGAAAATCCAAGGAAAGGATCTACGGAGACCGAGATTTAGAGTAATAGAACGTTCTCCATAGGATCGGATTTGTGTGCCGTTTACTGCTTGGAGGCTGTATACCGAGCAGTGTTTCAGGTCTTCTGAACGTGGGGGAACTACACTAACTTGGGCACCCGCGTCTACGAGGAATTGCATGCCGGATGTTACGTCCCGCAAGTAGAATAGACGACCTGGCTCGCATATGCCAGCTTGCGCCGTCGCCATTACGTGCTGGCGTGGTCGTTTTCCGAATCGGAAAACCGACACGGTTTCACGCACTTTTTCGCCTTGTTACGGAATCTACGGTGGTACCAGCATATGCCACGGAGACAAATAACACTCCGAGTACGCCGTTGATTAGATCGAGAGTTGATCCTTCGTCTGGTGATAGTAATGGAAGCCAGTTGTTGTTGTTGCAAGAAGTGTACGGCCGTAACGAGTTCGTCGTCAAATGTACGAGGTGATAAGTTTGAGATCTTTGGCGTTTGTATCTCCATTATCTTATCAGCCAAAAGGGCTAAATCTTTTAGTTCGGTATCCTGGTGGGCGTTATCCAGTATCTGTTGTACATGTATAGGGAGCCGTTGCATAAATAGCTGCTTAAAAATAGAATTCTCTGGGAGATTTTCACCTACCAAAGCTTGCATGGCTCCATACTAGTTGCGTAGGAGTGCGATCGCCTAACTGCTCTTCATTAAGTAGACGCTGCACACTTTTACGCTCACTAAGGCTAAGCTCACGAACTAACAAGTCCCATAACTGTTGGTATGTAATGCGCGTTTTTAGGATATCCTGTGCCAGGAGCAATATTTCTGGTGGGAGTCGGGAAATAACGTGATGAACCTTTAAGGCATCCTTATGTATGCGATTGATTTCAAAGAATGACTCGGCCTGCATAAACCATAGCTGGGGATACTGTAACCAAAATGTTGGTAAACAACTAGTAGATACGGTGTTAATTTCCCCTGGTTGCTGGTCAGTCATATTAGCATACATGAAATGGTGGAATTATGACGAAATTGGATACGACTCACCGGATGATGTTTGCTGAGTTGAAATATCCGAACTCACGTCGGGTCAACCATTTATCGTATTCATTTATCATATTTTGGTCAAACGCGTATTGTGGTAACGCTTTTAGGTTGCGGAGTTCCTGGATTAATAACCCGTCATTCTTGGATGCCAAAAGGGATTGAAAACGTGTATTCCCATAAATGTATTTTGGGGCTCCCAGATGTTATACACGAGGTGGTCTAGAGTCAGCCGGCGATCCAAAAGGAATGTTGGTCGATGATGAAGTGTACGAGGTGTTTGAAAGAATAGTTGATACTGCTGGTGATGTTATCAGCTGACCGGAAGGTTGTGTAATAAAATGTAAAGGGTACACTACAAGCTGATGGTTGTTCCACACTCGGTACTCTAGCTTCCCCAATGCCGCCGCTGCTTTCGACACGCGGATACGAAGCTCATTATATAGCTACTGATCAGTTGACATCACACTCCCAAGGTAGCAGAAGCGGGAGGTGGTTTCCATACTTCAGCACCAATGCTGATTAGTGACAATAATGAAGATTGCACTTTCAGTGAAGGCTAAAAGAGTAAGGCAGTGTTGCTTGTGTTGATAGTGAGCTCGAATTTGGCCGTTCTCGAAGCCAAAGCACTAGTCATGTGCTGCCACTCATCCGCGCTGTGTGCAAACAACGCACAGTCGTCGGCGAACAGCAACAAATAGATAGTTGTCTCACAGACTAGAGTTCTCGCACCGAAACGACATGTTCAGCAACCAACCATCAATACGATACTCCACACAAACACCGTAATCACAAGCCGCATCAAAAGCACAGGACATCATTGCACGAAGATAGATATTAAACAGGGCAGGAGCTAAGACGCAGCCTTGCTTCACACTAGAGACAACTGCAAAGTCATCCGAGGTCTCTCCACTCAGCTGCATCCTCGCTCGCATACCACTGTGCAGACATTCAATTAAACTTACAAACTTACGCGGGCAACCAAACTTGCCGAACGCTAGCCACAATGCCATGCGGTTCGTCGCATCAAATGCCTTGGTGAAATCAACAAAAGCGAGTACAACGGCTGGTGTCGTTCTCTGCACTTCTGCTGCAACTGACGGGCCGAAAACACCATATCTATAGTGCGGAATTATTCAGCAAGCAGGCCCAACTCAGACTACGTGTATACGCAGGCCGCCAGTATCTTCGATCGGCAGGCACTTATTGACATCGGGTCACCGAATTGAGGTCAACCAGGCGTTTCGAATCCTGCTTCGCCATACTAATTCTCGCCTCCGGTTTGCCGAGGCTATTGCCATTAATCGGATTAAGCCAGTGCTTTGTGTTCAAAAACAATTCTCGATCAGCCTCGGGCTGCCCTGGTTGTAAAACAAAGACACCTCTTTTTTCTCTCCTTTGTTTGTATGTTATATAAACTTACCGGTTATCGTTATCGGCACTGATGAGACGATACGAAATGCATGCATCTGCCGAGCTTCATCTTCTAATTGGGCTTTTCATAATACAGAGAGCACAAAGTGTCTTTGTCTTTTGTTGATATTTTCACATGCCGTTTTATCTTTTTCTTGTCCATTTAGTGTTTCCGATTTAAATCCAGGAAATGAAAACAATCATTCGTACACGTTTTCAATTGGGCCCGGTTCTGTGCCATCTCCGAGAGTTTCCAGCCAGCGGTATTCTTCATCTTTGATCCCCCAGCTCGGAAAATGCACGGGACCCAGGACAGCTAAACTAGAAGTCAGCGCTTTAATCGTTTGTCGCCACGTGATTGGCTGACTACCACGCGATTTCTTCCAGCCTGGCCCTGTGCGAGCGACTAGTGCGCGTCGGAGCAGTCGTTCGCATGGCAATATCGTCAACATATTCCAAGTCAAGAACTCGTTTCCTGGGATCAGCTTCACACCTTCTAATTCGTTTTCTGTGAACGCGATCTCCATGGATTCGTCAATATCGAAGTTGGAAGAAAGGTGACAGCGGCCAACCTTATCTCACACCGCTGGAGATATTGAAGGGCGGCGACAGCTTACCGCGAGCCCTCGATTTGCCCGAGCTGCACACGTGCACGGATAATATTTACCTAAATCTTAGCACACCTTTCCTTAGCAGACAATCTCAAAGGACACATCGATCAAAGGAATCGGAGGCACTTTTAATGTTGAGTAACACAACAACGGTGGGTCGCTAATATGTGTGATGGTGCTCCAACGGTTGACGCAAGGTGTAGATGTGGTCGATGCAGCCACGACCCCGACGAAATCCGGCTTATTCCTCACGAATCTAGCTTTCGCGAGCACCAGTCAGTTTGTGAAAGATTACAGAGGCAAGTAAGTTGTAGGCGATGGGGATCAGACTGACTCCTCTATGGTTCTCACATTCCGAACGCGAGCATCCTTTGAAGATCGGGACAATAATGAAGCGGCTCCAGTTAGTTGGGACAATTTCCTGATCCCACAGTTTACTAGTAATTCGTGTAAATCATCAACAAGAGCAGGGTCCCCGATTTTGAAGTGGGCTGGATGAAGGTCATCTAGTCCCGCGGCTTTCTACAACTTTAGCAGTCCGATCTCACGTTCGACGTCTGAGCGAGGGTGGGGTCAAAAGGACAGCCCAGGGAGCAGGGGATCACTGGCCGGTGAGGAACCTAACAGTTCCGGCCGATTAAATTGCTCTTCAAAATGCTCAGCCCAACGATCCAAACGTTTTGACGAGTTGTGAATAGGATGTCCACTCTCATCATAAATTGTTTCACTAACACCAGATCTCCTGCTGTCCGTTTCCCGTATCAGACAGAATAACTTTCGATGGTTACCAAGGGCAGTGGCTCTTACGGAGAGTGAGCGTTCAGGCCGAGAGTAGTGCCGCAACAATGGATCGGTCCACGATTAGAGATCGAAGGCGAATATAGATCAAAATGCGAATCTATGAGGAATCAACGGCAAGTCGGACCATGAACTTGAACCGTTTGAGTTGTATTTACTAACATTAATTAGCATCTCCACTTTTGTTGTGTTAGTGGTTTCCTACAACCCATTTATTGCACCACGCTCTCACACAATAGAATCAGAATCCGGATCCTTCGGACCGGTTGGTCTTGGTGTTCTTATTTCGTGGCGGGTTGAACTGGTTGGGAGCGGCACAGCAGATTCAGGTAGATTATCCATAAAATCAACGGAAACCACAACACATTTCTGGCAACGGTCAGTTGCACGGTAGCAGCAGGTTAGCCGTACAATCGGTGGCACCACAACAGTGGCCACTTCCATCTCGGAGGCACGATGAGACCAACAGGATTCGCTCGCGTAGAAATGCAATCTGCTTACGCCAGATTGGTTTAATGATCAATCGCCTATTATGTCTCCGATTGGCAAATCCCCCTCGACACCGTAGAAGTGTGCTGGTACACCGGTTGCGATCAACGGATAGGCTACCGACCATCCGAGCCAATCGTACAGCGAACTCGAAATCCTGCTATCAGCCTGCAGATAGTTTTAAACAAGATGACAATTGTTTCAAAATTTGCTCTTGTTTAAAACTATCGGCAAATTTCGTGCCGCACCAATGCGCGCTCGAGGGAAAGCCGAGCTGAAGTCAACCCGTCCAATCAACATAAACACAAGCATCCATACGACTGTACGCGTGCACAGCGTCACACTTGTTACTCTTCCCTTTGGTGTGGCCGAAGACTCGACCCCAACGTGCACCGCGTGTTACGCTGCGGACCAATGTGGTCCAAAGCACACGAGACGTTTACTCGGCTACGAGTGCAGACGAACAGGCAAACTGTCAACTGAAGCAATCGATAGTACTGGTTCACCAGCCGTTTCCTTGTCATGTTATCGTTCAACAGCCTGGCGATGAGTACGATGCTCTCGTACTGAACCATTATTGTGGTAGCTCGTATTACACAGCGCATGAGGTGTGGCAGAACCAGCAACGCGTGCATGCGCGATTGGCCTATCACCCACGCCATGGGATGGACGACGCGCACTCAGCCTAGGCAAGAAAGGGCACGCGTTTGGCTGATTTATCAATGCCTGCTCTGCGGTTGGCTAACCCAGCCGAGGGAATTCCAGGAAGCTCTTGGAGGAAAAAGGGTTTTAGGGGGGCCTGTTCGGGAGACAGTAAGAATTGCCTAGGAAATCCACCATTTTAGCGATTAGTCGATTATTAACGATTATCGCATCGATTTCGAACATTCCGGAATGTTCAAGTTCAAGTGAGACTGGAACGATAGGATGAATTCCGCAAGTGTTCCTTTTTGAGTGGGTCGTCGATCAAGTTGATAGGGGGTGCTCCGACTTCTTGTTGGGTCTAAAACAAAAACACCCGAAAAACACCCTGGTCCACCAATTTAATGCCCACGTTCCTTACATTAGCTGTCCCTGCTATGTCAGTTACTTGAAGTAAGAGAGGAAGAAAAGTCGAAAAGTAAGGGCAATCAGTTAAAAGAAGATAATAATACCAACTGTGTGGGAAAGTG